GAGAGAGAGAGAGAGAGAGAATATTTCTACGGGTGAGGTGTATAGACGAAGGTCTGTCACAACCGATAGCGCAACTAAATGTTAATTAATACGTCATGATACATGCAACTGGCACTAATTTGAAGACTAAATCGGAATGCCCGGTGGAGCACTAAGGGGGAGCGACGCGCGTAATAATGCAGTGCCTGCAGTGAATGCATCTCGGCGGCCCGGAGGCATCGAACTCCGCTTGGCCAGTCGGAGATTGTCGGCTACTTCGAAATCGAAGAGACTTCGAAGGCCGGCGGCCGCTATCGCGTGCATGGAAAGCATTTAATTACAGATGATCGGCCTCACTCGCCGAGCTTTCGAATTCAATACGGAATTCAATACGGATTCAATAATCGCTGGCCGCCGCAAGATTGACAATTAACGTTCGCCGATTACGACACAAAGGCCAGGTTTCTTTCTACACTTTTTCCATCTCGTTGTCTTTATCGCGAAAGATTATACAACGAGATGGAAAGAGTAAAGAAAAAAAGAAAAGAGATCAATTATCAGGAGTAATAATTTAAATTCGCGTAGAAGAGAACTGATTTTTAAAAAGTTCATATTATTTATTTTCTACTTAGGTTAACAAAAGGTTAACGAAATAGTAAATACAGAATGAGTAAAAATAATTAATATTTTGCAGAGATATATTAATTTTGTCCGCCTTATTAACCTCGACTGATAGTTCTTTCTTTTTCATTCTGTTAATATGGAATCGGGGAAGGATGATTCGATTCGTTACGTGTTCGGTCGATTTCTTTGAAATGTTACTCCATTTGGATTTGGTGTGCGAATTTCCATTTCGAACATTCTATTCCCGCAGCGCAAAAAACGAAATAAGGGAGAGGGAGGTAGGAAGGGATGAATCGGGAAAGAACGAAGATGATGGAGCAAAGCCGAGAAAAAGGGCATGAGGAATTCATCGCGGATGAGCGCCGCCTCACTTAGCTCGACAAAGGGCAACGAGCGGGCGGATCCGGATGGGGTCTCTATCGTTATGCTGATTAGATCGTACCGTTTTATTAAGACGGCGGGTGTAAACTCCAAGATTCATAGAGCCACGAGGAAAATGGTTTCCGTGCCGTTTCACCCTCAACGAGACGGAGTTTCCAATCGTTTTCCATTGTCACAGATATAGACAGACCATCATCGACCTCTACCTCTCGATTCTCGTAGAACATTCGAAGTAAATTCCAGAGGATTTTATTATGCCCAGAAATCTCATTTGCGTCCTAAACGTACGTACATAGGCCATTGAGCCATCCTATTCGAATGGCGAAGTAATATCGATCGTTCTTGTCCCAATAAATTCCTCGAGTTTATTCCTCGAGCTTTTCGTCGACTTTATTTTTCGAATATTATTTTTTCGACGCAGATGTTTTTGCCGCCGTGTTTTTCATATTTAACGAAAAGCATTACGAATGCTTTCGTATGCTATAAAATATTCAAGATAATAAGAACAGGCGAGAGTATTAATTTGGAAGAAAAGTTGCGGTTTTTCTGAACGAATTACAAGCGCGAAATTATGCATCTAGTTTCGTTTCCAAATCTGAAATCAGCATTGCGTTCTCTGTTGTGCGCGATGAGTGGAAGGGATCGAAAGATTTAATAATGCGATTTACTTCGTCCGAGGAAAGAACTCGACTATACGTCACACAGAACAGGTAACGTCTCGGAGCTGGATAATTTCATAAATTATTACATACACGCTGCGAGAGAAGCGTAAACATTTGCAATATGCGGTTCATGCAGAAATCGGGATAGCTATGCGAATCATTTGCATACCTAACCACGTGTTGCCTAGATTCGTATTAACAAATTAAAATTGCATCGCTTTGCACCAAAATAAATAATTATAAAACGAATTAAATTAAATTACGGACATATACATGTTTAAATAAGCAAGTGCTCTGTCATGTTAACTCTATAATTAAACGTTCAAAATATTCGAGCGCCACCGATTCACTGAATTGGATAATTTCGAATTTATTATTTAGGCGATACGGCTCTTCGAACTTCACGAGAGTTACTTTTCTAAATTTTCGAAATCCTTTCAGTCGATACAAAAGTTCCTCGCGGTAGCCGAGAAGAGAAGCTGGAAGGCTTTTTTGGCGAACGAACGTGCAAGCTTGCAGAAGACTCCCGAGCCAATTTGCACGGACTCATCTCATAAATCCGACATCGGCGGAGGTCCGCCGAGAGGTAAATAACGTCATTCGTTATAGGCAACTTTGGAATAATGTCAAGCGATCGTTGGCGCCGCATCGACGCCTATTTTCGCGAAAGAAATATTTATCTTTTCGCAAAATACTCGGCAAGTTCGGCAAAGCTCTTCAGTTTCCAGCTGCGTGAGTGTTTCAAATGCTGCAATTTTCAACGTAAGGCCATAGAGTAAGATTTTTATTTCTTTAAAAATAATTAGTAACGTTTCGTAAGATGGCGTTACACTCGCAAATCGTGATTACGCTCGACAAAATACTTTGTTTAATTCGATAAATTGACTGAAAAAGTAATATATGTATATATATATATATATATATATTGTACTTACGATGCACCACTCGTCCGAGGATGGGCATTCCATCAGCATGTGTGCGGTGTAATTAATGCACGGTGTAATGCTGCCGACTCCCTCGTTGTATTGTCCACATTTGTAACATCTAATACCGTGCGCGACACCTGCGACACATACATATAACATTTAATCGTCATCGCGAAAATCACGTGGAAAGCATGCCGCTGCCGCGAAGAATAATACTAGTAATAGAGAACTAAGCGACGAGCAACACACAAAATATAAAACGCGTGAGCGACACGAAAATCGATTTTTCTGATTCTCCACTCGCGCCGTATGTCGCGAAAATGATTCGCGATGGCTGAAACAGGCGGCAGATTCGCATCTGGCTCCTCGATATTCGCGATATTCTTAATCTCGCGCTCGCGCGCGGCTACGCTGTAGGATTCGAAAATTGATGGGACCCATAAAACGCTTAATCGCGCCTCGTAAATGCGAAAATTCGGGCGTTCTGCCCAGCGCCGCATATTCAGCCCCGCGCCGAGTAATAGCGCCTCGGCTCGTTTTTCGCGAACTTGGTTCGAATTTCATAATACCGGCGACGTGCGAGGGAAAGTTTTATCGTGCTTTTTCGCGCCGGACCGATCGAACTCTTTTTCGCCGGCAAGGCACGTCCGTAAAATCGGGAATTTACGAGGCGGCGCTAAGCGCCGCCGTCGATTCCAGATGAAACGCTACCGAGAGATCGCGAAGGATTCGCTGCTCGCTAGTAAATTAAGCACACTCGCTTCTCAATCACGACACGAGAGGAATGGAAGGAGCGATGAGACGCTGCATTCTTTCAGCATCTTTTAGACGGAAACCTAAGTTCTTGTACATTTCAAATTTGCTGAATCATTTTTCAAAAAATGTTTATTTAAAAAATTTATTTATACACAATACGTTTATTATTTAAAATAATTAATGCGTACAATATTGATGTCTTGATGTTATTAATGAGGATTTTTTAATAATACTCGCTCGATGAATTTTTTCGGCAAACTTGGCTCATTATTTCAACGTTCGAGATAAACTTTAAATAATTTAATTAATTAAATAATTTAATTTATTTTGCTGTCTTTAAAAAGAACGAAAATGACAAGAAAGATATAACGGGGATAATAAAGCGTTTTAAGTATTCAACACTACAAATTCGCGGTGAGTCTGTCCTCCACTGAGCTTCAATACTTCCTAACGCAGTCTACAAGAGAGAGAGAGAGAACTCCCTCAGCATACGGTCCCCTTGAGAGGTGAACCACCGTGGAACCTCGTTAGAACTTTATGAACTTGCGAGTTCAGCCACAGGCCGATGTTTCGCAACACCGCTCGCCGCGGTGTTGATTCGGTCCTTGACAAAGTATTAAGATCGTCCGTTTGCACACATTCATTTATACGTCATATCGCATTAAATTGAAACTGCAAGACAGACGAGAAAACGTCATTCGGCATCCGGGAAAGAGATATATAACTCGAATAAATCTTATCCGTCCTGTATCTTATCACAGAATCGTGTACCTATAAGAATAACAGGATTTTATTATATATCAAACGTTCCGACTTGTAAACAGGAAACTCGCACAAACGTAAGAAAGAAGAAAATTGCGTTTCTTTCTCGCGACCTTATTTCTTTATTGGTTCGCCGCATCGTCACGGCGAAGAAAAAATATATGATATACTAATCTGGAGCGCAGATTTCGAGAAATTGCATCGCGTAAGCTAGGCCACAAAAATGATCCGGTAACCGAAAGCAAAACCGAAAGATCGATTTCGGCGATGCCATTACGCGCGAAACCGCGGGAGTCCAAAACGATGAGGACGGATCACACAACATCCGCCCGGCATCAGGGATTTTTTTGCCCGGTGCAGTTGTTTTCCTATTTCCAATAAAATATTTTTGCCGCATTCTAACCGAGCACCGGACCCATCCCGCGTCTCGGAATCGACTCAATAAACAGGCAACTTTTCCAATTTTCTACGAATCGCCCATTTGGAATTCGATACACCAATCTGGCAAATCCTTAGTACGATTATACGCCATCCGCTTCCCTCTAATCTCCCAGAAATCAGCCCCGTAGCACATCCATCCACACTGTATCAACAGACAATAGAGGCTCGAGATATAGTTCAGCAAATTAATAATGCCTACGTAATTCGATTCAGCAAAGCAATTAAAATAATCTTGTGCGAAAATATACAACCCTCATCAGAAATCGAAATTGCGCGGTTACGATGTTAAATTGAATCGAGCCGAAATTACCGACGCGGTACCAAACGCGAACACAAATCGTTTCGGTGGGAGTTTCACTTTTGGGAGCTCTGGGCGGATTTTTCCCCGCGGTGCGGGAATCCCGAAGGGAAATCTGCTGGACGAAGACTCGAGAGTTGTTTCGCTCGATATTGCGGACACGCGGGTCTGCGACGACGTGTGGCACTGATATATCCACGTCCCGGCGTACATCTCGCGGCTACGTGGCGCACGTTTTTGGCGGCGGAGACGCGTCACGTAAATTCGACCCGATTTTCGGAAGAAAAATATTGGTAGTAAATTTCACGAAGACGGACGTGCCTCTCTGTATCTTCCCGCCCTGCGCGCGATCCGGATGATTTATCTCGCCGCTCATTTTTTCCAGCGATGCGCCCCGCGCGTGCGCGCGCGCGTGCGCGCGCGCGCGCGCGACGTGCGATAGAACCTGCATTCTCGCCGGATACGGCGCGCAGTATTGATAGCGTGGCCAACGTGCCGAGAGATGTATTTTCCCCGTTGTCATTATTCCAGGGGCGGCGAGGGAGGCATGCGGCCGATGCGATCGGCCGGTTGCCCGAAACCACGTTCGATACTCTGGAGAGATTGAAACGGTCGTCCTATTGCAATTTCGCAAACCTCGAAGAATTAATTGTTTTCTGTATAACAATAATTTAAGTTTGCGGGTTTTTTTGTATTTTTGACATATCTTACTAATTGAGGAAAACAATGGGAAGAGAAGGAAGATAGCCGAGTACTAATTGTAATGTGAATGAAAGTTCGTCTCATTTATTTTTATGCACAAAAGACGTCTTTTCTGCGATACCTAGCGATGTTAAAGTTACTACGACTACGAATAAATTTTGCGCATTGTCGGATGTATTATAATGTTATTATTTTATCATTACCATTGTTAATTAAATGACATCAAAGTAGTTTAAATTTATTCGAGCTTTATTATACGAACTGAATGGTAGTTAATGTGCAACGATGCGATAAGATAAACCGTCTATGTTCCGCTCTGCAACTTTGATATCCTTTCGCAAATATTTGCCTTCGATCAGGCATAATGGAGTCTGTACTGACATATAGCTTCACTTTCCTGTGAAATGTGTACGCAACCGTTCGTTGCGTACACATCACCTGATCTCTCAAGATTTTATAATAAATCTCTTATTAGATAAAGAAAGATAAAGAATATTCTAAACAATCAAAGTCTTCAAATATTTTCTTATTTTGTGAAATCGTGATCGTGTACGTGATTCACAATAAAAAAATTAGTTTCAGTTACGTTTGTTCCAGCTATGTCAACTAAATCATATTGATTGAGACGACGACGAAGTAAAGGAGTTAAGACTGCAAGAATAATTTTCTTTTATAAGTGGTTGCGTCAAAGATTCGCTCCGGTAATCATCGGCAATGAAATTCGCGACTGCGGCCGCTGTTTCGAAAACAATTTAAACTTCGTCGCCCCGAGTAAGCTCAAGCGGCAATCGAGGAAGAACTCGAGCCGACGAGAGCAAAGTCACTGACGACGTTCACGAGGATTTCGACGAATGAGTTAACTGTTTGTTCATTTTCTAGCGCGATATAAAATAACCCTGTCATAATTACATTCCACGCAGAAATGAATAGAAATTAATATTTTCCTTTCCAAAATAATCGTAAAACATTTCTGCCGCGATGTAATCGTTTGTACAATTGATTATATTTGAATATTGAGATGTTACATAAAAGCTTTAAAAGCTTCATATATTTAAAAATTAAATAAAACAAGATTTAATGATAAATACCTAATGCGATAATTTATATGAATAAGTTACTTTAGTTAATTAAATAATTTTACTAACATTTGTGATGTAAATTGTACAAAGTGAGTAAATCGAGATTATTTCCCATATTATTCTTTACTGGTAAAAATTCTTTATGATAAAAATGCGATGTATTCTCATGGTTCATGCCATTCAGATACCAGGCAGGAAGTTCAAAGAAGAAAAATCGTGGACGTGGCTCCTTTGTGGGAAAGGAAGTCCGCGATTCGCGCAGGATCGAAACTAGTAGAGAGTAATGTCATTACGCGAGCGGAAAGATTTCGTCGTCGTCGTAAAGGTATCCGAACGGAAATGCCGATCTCGATGCCGTAATCGGCTTTGTGTCAGGCAACTTGCATCGGACGTAAGCATCGGACTTGCCATCACGTAAAGTACATTTGAGAGAAAAGTTAGCCTTTCTGCAGCCACGAAAGTCGTCGGTGTATCAACGCGCGGAATGAAGTCGGATTGTTACCCCGTCCGAAGAATGAAAGTAATTTCAAAAGTGAGTTTCGGGATAAAACGTCTCTCGCGGAAATATTTGCGCGCGTTATAATATATAGAGGCTGATCCCTCTGCAAAAATGCGGAGAGATGGAATGGTAAATGTTCATCAAGTTTCGGAAGTAATCCACGAAATGCAATTTTACAAATATTTCTCGAGACTATCAGATTCTTTAATGAGAAGTTATTGTAAACAGATATTGTATAATTAATAATATTTAAAGTCAGACAGTGTAAAGAATAATAGTAGCATCAAAATTTTAATACAGAAATAAACGAACGACGGTCCGTGGCTTTAATGAAGACAAACTGTCGAGTTAGTTGCCGCGGCTCCGCATCCTATTCTGAGGAAGTCCAAAGAATTTCGAAACTGGTGGATTCCGAGCGAGGCATCTAAGTACTCTTGACTCCTGGAATTTCCCTACCGAGAGCAAAAGCCCATCTCAGACATCGGCGCGGTGTGACGCTTTAGGCATCCCGCTTGCATCTCGACACGATGGAATTTCCTCTTCCGCTCAACCGATCGATCGGGGATTCGCAGCATCCAATTTCTATTGTTGATCAACGTT